TTTTAATCTTCTGTGTTTTGCATTTCAGAAAGAAGGCCTTGAGCTCTAAGAAAGGTCTACGGCCTCCGAATGGGCGGAAACCTCAAATGAGGTTGAAGCCCACGGAGCCTGACTTTAGGTCTTTGCGTTGCGCAAAGGGGGGAGTGTTGGAAGCTCCAAGCCCAGCATGGCCCCTTCGCAAGGATGACACGCCGAAGGCCTTTTTGCTCAGCGTATATTAAAGTTGTTGCGTGCTTGAGGGTTTGAAGAGGGTTGAGCCTAGAGTCCTAAGCCTAACTAAGAGGTTCCCAGGCCCCTCCCTTACTTCCCTCAAAATAATAAGTATTCAGGCCCCTACATTAGTTGTGAAGCCTGTGGGGAGGAGCTGCTGCAGAAGATGGGACCAGCCTGGCTGACCAAAGCTTTCCACACCGCCCGTTACCTGGGCTGAAAGTTGGGCCCTTCGAAAGATTTGTGTTCGTTTAGGGTTTAGGGTTTAGGAGCGTAAATGAGCCCTAAGACCCAAGCCCCAACCATAAACCCTACGTGTGTAAGCCCAAAACCCTAAACTACCCTAAACTTCGTAAGCCCCGAAACCGTAAACCCCAAGCGCCTAAACCCTAAACAAGGTATCAGATACATGGCGAACTTTCGTTGCGGATTCTTCTGTTTGGGTCGTACATCGGGCTTCGTGTTCAAACGCTTTAGGGGTCCATGAGGAGGACCCTTATCCCAACGGACCCTAACTTCGTAACCCTCAGCCACGCTGAGGAAAGCACCCCTTGCAGGGCTTTCGGTTTTTGATGCAGATCTTCGAATATACATCTGTTGAACCGCAACTGCGGAACCTTGGGTAAAAGCACTGGGCTTAGGGTTGAGGATTGAGGGTTGACGGCTGTAGAGCTTAGGGTGAAGGCCCTGAGGGAAAAATCTTGACGTTTCCCAGGACGATGGGCACAAGCCCGGTGCAAAGCACATACGAAACCAGCTCCACTTTAGAAACGTCCCCAGGTGGGCCATACTCGTGACCTTGAGCCGTGGATACCATTATACTATTCTTTCATAGCAGTGATCCTTCTTCTTGTTATTATTATTGTTCTTGTAATTAGGCCCTTCTGCAAGTGTAGGGGCTGAACTGGAGGCACAGAACGTCCAAGTACTCAAGCATCAAACACTCCGGTATAGTGTTTCGGGTATACACTCCCGTAAATCAAAGCCTGCTCCTTGATGTCTACAGGGCTTGACATAAGCGAAGATCTACATTTAGGCATCTTGAGCCGGAAGCTCCACATCCCCAGCTGTATTGCCAATACCATTTACAGGGGTTTCATATTGGTTTGGTATAGTATATCCCAAAACCCTATTCCAAGTATTAAGGCCCCTTACAGTCTAAGTTCTGTGATGCCTGGATTAGGCGATTTGCTGTGACAGGCTCCATTCCGGAGGACAACAAGGTGAAGGTGCTGAAAAATGTGAAGGAATCCTGGATTTGGATGACGGTGTCGGCCAAAGGTCGGGGGTGTAGGGATTTCGAAGCCTACCGTTTATAAGGCATATATTAGGGCTGTAGTACTTTTGGATTTAAGCGACTGGGGTTTTGGCGGCTATGGGAAACTGTATCATATGATTCCTTCAAGACCATTGGGGAGCAATATGACTATATGACGACTAGTTATGGAGAGCCTCGTTTCTTTTTCTGGTTTTGGGGTCAAAGAGAATTTAGGGTGTAGGCGTGAGTTTGCCAGCAGCTGTTCTCATGGGGTTGGCAGATTGCAGATCGGCACAGGAGCAACTGTCACCTATGATGGCCAAGCAAAGTAAGTGAGGCTGTGCCTCAGTCATGTGATTTATCATTGGGGGCAGCCTGTTCCAGACATAGTTGTTTGACACCTATCATGATGCCTAACGCTCCATACCTCAAATGACTGAGGCTAGCACCTGGATCTGATCGTGAATTCCTTTCATCTAGTTTGCATTTGCAGCGGGGGAACGTAGCTGGCCGTGGGGTTCTCGCACTTTTGTCACGGTGGTGTTGCTCTGGTGTAGATAAGCTCGAGTGTTCACCACTTCAGGCCGTCACTTCCTATTAGACTTATTAGAAGGACGACAAGGGAACCTGATGATTGCTAAGCAAAATATGGCCCCAGATGGACAAAACGGGACCATGATGATTGCTTAGCAAAAAAATTGGGTTCCTTGTTATAATCATAGTATACTGCACCCCGAAACCCTATTCCAACTATTATTTTCCCGAATACAGAACCTTACCAGAGGTCCCCTTATAGAACCCTTTTAAGGATCCCTTTAAAGGAACCCTATTCTTATCATATGCGGCCCCTACATTATGCTAGTTTGTTCGTTGCTGGTGCTACTCCTCGCCTGAAGAGTCAGAGGTGGAGCACCGAAACCCCGCTTCGGAAGACTTAAAAGATAAGAACAGGGGTTCCTTTAAAGGGATCCTTAAAGGGTTCTATAAGGGACCTCTGATAAGGTTCTATATTCCGAACCGTCGCCACGAAACAACTATAGGGTTTAGGGATTTAGGGCTTCGGATTTAGGGTTTAGGGTTTGGGGAATCTAAGATAGGGGGAGATGATTAGTAGCTAGTAAGAGTCAATGCAGTTCTACCATACTATTCCCCAAGCCCGATTGATTCTAATTCTAGGTCCCGATGCAGTTGTACAGAAGTGTGCCCCCCAATTGCTATTCTAATTCTGAAGCCTCGCATGTTATGAACCCTAAACCCTGAACCCTGAACCCTAACACCCTGAACCCTAAAACCCTGAACCCTAAAACCCTGAACCTTAAA